TCTATCCCGAAACACTCTTTCATTTCATGGTTAGTTGTCAAGAATCGCTTGCTAACCAGGACCGACTTCAAGCATGGGGTTTGGAAGTGCCGGAATCTTGTTTACTTTGTGACATTGAGCGGAATCAGTTGATCACCTATTTTTCAGCTGCGGTTATTATGCCTTAATATAGACATTCCTCTTTCAACACTCAACTCTTCAGGGACATCGGATTGAATCTTTATTAGGCCATGCACTTTGGGCAGAATAAAGTTTCTCTGACAGGTGCTTGCGATTGATGACCAAGCTTCTCTTCCAAGGGACGATTTATACTATCTGGAAAGAGAGAAACACTAGACTCCATGATAATTCATCCATGTCAAAACAGATCCTCGCCAAAGAAATTTTCCTGAGTGCACTGTGGAAGTTGTCTTCTATCCGAGACGATTGGAAGACTAGCAATCTCGAAGACTCGTTGCTCTCAATTTGGTTTCGACACTTTGATCCTATCTAGCTGATTGAAAAATCTCTTTGTATTTGAACCGTGCGTTGATCAATAGAGTTGTCTGTACTATTGCTGTTGTTTGATTATAACAGCTTTATGTAAGAACACACGGTATATATATGATTTATGTTTACCAAAAAAAATTATATCAAATAATTTCAATTAAACCGCTTGGTGGAATAACTATTCGGTTAACCGATGTTTTTCTTAGTTCAATCGTGTTATTCCACCCTCATATCCGATCCATAATTTTAACCATTTTAAATTGAATTAAAATAAGATAATTGGATTTTGGTTTAAAAATCTAACCGAATTGAACAGTCCGACACGTAACCTTGTCGTGGCTATTTAATGTGTTATGTTTGACAATAATTGGATAGAAATAAATTGTTTTAATTAATATGGCTCATAATGCAATCTACAAATATATTTTATGTTTTGCTAATAGGGGAAATACTTTCCTTTTTCAGTATATTAAAAAATATAGGGTTTCCACATTTGTCGACGCTCTGTTGGCTCTTTTGTCTGCTCAACTAAATCTGGAAAGGATAAAGTCGGACCATTTATATGATTATATATTACAACGCATTCATCCACATCCCACTTTAATTTAATGATAATACGAGATGATGATAATATAGCCGTAAGGAGGAGATTTGGGTTCGAGATTAGAATCTTTGGATTAGGTTTTGGATTATTTTAGTCTAGGAAGAAACTAGATTTTGTTTTTTTATTATCTTTTTAAATTTTGTGTTATGTAGTTTTGGATTATATTAAGATAATATCTATTATAATTAAATTGATTTTATGGGATGAATTTAGGAGATTTGAATGAGATGAATTTTTTTTTTGGTTGGAAGAAATGTTTACAAACTTCAATTTAGTATCCATAAATAATTAGAATCTAAAAGGCAAAAGGTGCTTTACACAATTGGTGTTACACTCTATATCATGAAAAACCACATATAAAAATCTAAACAAAAATAAAAATCTGTACCCTACCTAGATATCATAGGTTAGGTTTACAAAATGGTAACTAGTATATATATATATATCTTAAAAATGGTAAGTTTATATGTATAGCCAAACAATATGCCACGTCAATGTCCGTTTTAGGACATGTTATGGAGAGACGGAGGAACAATGTTTTTTTTTTTAATTATTATATTTGGCCCAGTTGGAATTTGAATTCTGGTGCACCTTGTATTTCTCTTGCCACCAATCTACCCTACACTGGATACAGAAGAACAATATTGAACGTTATGTAGTATAATTGTCGAGCCCCAGATCTCTTAACGCGATATGTCACGCGTGTGGCTAGAGTTCGAGTATCCGAATTTTCTGAACTACCCGAGCTCATCCTCGATCCCTTTGGATATATATTGGCAAAGTACCCGACCTCGGTCTCACACGCATCGGGTATCCAAGTAGATATGGTCAAGGGTTTGGATAGCACAGGGGTGAGATGGTCGACGAGGCAAGATGGTGAGAGCGACGAGCAGTGAGATGATGAAAAGCGAAAATTGTGAGTTCGTTGTTCCTCGATCTCACCTCGACTTATGGTTAGTACACTACCCTAAACTCTAAATCCTAAATCCAGTTAAGTTTGAGAAGCAACAACACGATTCTCATCCGGCTTTAAGTTTAACGGAAATAGATTGATTTGTATAAGATTTTATTTTTATTTTTTTGTTCGTTTTCCCTTATCCACTGTAAATACTTCTACTCCAAACAGAGGATTCGGCAACTTCCTTCTTCTAAGGGGGAGGGGCCAATGGGCCATCGTCACTTTCGTCGCTCTCACACTTGTGAAAGTTAAAACCCTAATTCTCTCTAAATGCTTCCCTCCAAATCCCTGATTTCGCGATCGATCTCGAGCCTCGTTTCTCCGACCGACTTCCTTCTCGCCGAAAAGGCCCTAACCATTCTCCGTTGTCATCCTTACCAGCTCGATTATCTCTCTTCCAATTTTACCCCTGAAGCAGCATCTTGTTTACTCCTCAAGTGTCAGAACGATCAGAGATTGGTCCTCAAGTTCCTGAATTGGGCGAAACCCCACCATTTCTTCACTCTCCGGTGCAAATGCCTGACCCTTCACGTCCTCACCAAGTTCAAGCTCTACAAGACCGCCCAAAGCCTCGCCGAGGATGTTGGCGCGAAAACCGTCGACGAGGAGGGTGTTCTTGTCTTCCGGTCGCTCCAGGAGACTTTCCATTTGTGCGATTCGAGCTCCTCTGTATTCGATTTGGTCGTGAAATCTTACTCCCACCTGAATCTGATCGATAAGGCTCTGAATATCGTTCATTTGGCCAAGTCCCATGGCTTCATGCCTGGTGTTTTGTCTTACAATGCTGTGTTAGATGCTGCGATCAGGTCTAAGAGGCATGTTAGCTTCGCAGAAAGTGTGTTCGATGAAATGGCCGAAACCCGGGTTTCTCCGAATGTGTTTACTTACAACATCTTGATTAGAGGGTTTGGCGGTGCTGGGAATCTGGATGCTGCTCTGCAATTATTCTCTCGAATGGAGAGGAACGGATGTTTGCCCAACGTTGTTACTTACAACACCTTGATCGATGCGTATTGCAAGTTACGCAGGATTGATGATGGGTTTGAGGTTTTGAGATCAATGGCATTAAAGGGTTTGGAGCCTAACTTGATTTCATACAATATGATCCTTAATGGGCTGTGTAGGGA